TAATTTTGTGTTTTGAGTAGAGACAGGTTTTCTCCAGATTGGTCAGGCTGGTCTTGAACTCCCAACCTTAAGTGATACACCTGCCTCAGCCTCCCACAGTGCTGGGATTACAGGCGTGAGCCACCGTGTGCTCAGCCTAGTTGTAGATTTTCGACCTTGCTGAAAATTATACTCCAGCTTTCATTGGGTGGGCTGCAGGATTATAATATAAAAGAATTCATGCATTTAGCAGAACCCCAAGCAGTGTGTTCAGCTGTATACTTTGTGTGGCTGAGAAATGACCAAGAGCACAGAGGTGCACGGGTCCCTGGGCAGTGGATGATCAGGGACGGAGAGAGCAGATGTGGATGTCTGGGGAGGAGGTCTGGGAGGAGGTGGTGGATACAGTACCTCTTCAGATGGGTGTGAAGACAATGGTGTCTCATGTGAATGCCCACCCAAGGGCATCTACTGCAGCAGCCACTCTACTGATGGAGTGGACAAGCTGGCACGTTCTGTAGATGACAGTAAGCCTTTCCTATAGCTGTGCTATTGCTTGCTCAGTGAGCTTATTTACACAGCGGCCACAGTGATAGGAACATGGGCTTCCCCTTACCAAAGTGAGCTGGCAGAATAAACCAACTCTAAAGCTCCCATGGCACCATTCCCTTGGGGAGGGCAGAGGAGCTTGGAACCAGTGTTAAAAACCTATAAATGTGGCCAGGAGCAATGACTTATGCCTTTAGTCTCAGTACTTTGGGAGGCCGAGGCGAGCGGATTGTATAAACTCAGGAGCTCAAGACCAGCCTGGGCAATATAGTGAAACCCCATCTCTACAAAACATGCAAACATTAGCCGGGTGTGGTGGCGTGCCTGTAGTCTCAGCTACTCGGGAGGCTGAGGTGGGAGGATGGCTTGAGCCCAGGAGATAGAGGCTGCAGTGAGCCAGTATTACAGCACTGCACTCCAGCCTGGGTGACAGAGGGAGGCCCTGTCTCAAAGAAAAAAAAGGAAAAAACACAACCTGTAAGTATAACTACTTGGATATATAAAAGAACACAATAGAACTTATAGACTTAATAAACAAAGTGATAAACTCCTGAAAAAGGTTTATCAGCAGCCTAAGAGATAATTAGTGACTGGTAGAAATTTCTGAAGAAATATCCAGAATGGGCCAGGCGTGGTGGCTTATGCCTGTAATCCAAGCACTTTGGAGGCCAAGGCAAGCAGATCACCTGAGGTTGGGAGTTCAAGACCAGCCTGACCAACACGGTGAAATCCCATTTAAAAAAAATAAAAAATAAAAAAAATAAAAGAAATATCCAGAACGTGGAACATAAAGATGACACATTAAGATATGACAGAGAGGTTAAGAGACATGAAGAAGGGTATGAGACTTCTCTCTTTCTCTTTCACAATCCACAGTAATAGTGTATTTTACTTGTGACTCACTCTACAATATGTGTGTGTTAATAAATACAACTAAAACAAAAGTTTCATGACATAACACAATACACTCCAATATATTCTATTCTCTTTCTTTATCTACACTGGTAAGCATCTACTACATTGATTTTATAAGCTACTGTTAGAAAACAACCTATAGCCTGAAAAATATTAGTTGAATACTGATCAAACTACAAGACGTAAAGGGTGAGAGAATGAGGTTAAAATAACATTTATCCTTTTTTTTTTTCCTTTTTTTGGGAAAGGATCTTACTCTGTCACCCCAGGATGGAGTGCAGTGGTATAATCATAGCTGACTGCAGCCTTGACCTCCCGGGCTCAAGTCATCCTCCCACCTCAGCCTTCTGAGTAACTGGGACTACAGGCATGCACCACCATGTGTGGATATATATATATATATATATATATATATATATATGTATTTTTTGCATTTTTTGTAGAGATGGGGTTTCACCCCATCTTTCCCACCCATGTTGCCCAAGCTAGTCTTGAACCCCTGTATTCAAGCATTCTGCCCGCCTTGGCCTCCCAAAGTGCTGGGACTACAGGCGTGAACCACTATACCCATCCGGGACAACATTTAAAAGAGATATTGTCACATATGATACAACATGGATGAAACTTGGGGACTTTATGCTAGGCGAAATAAGCCAGTCACAAAAGGACAAATATTGTATGATTCTATTTACACGAAGTACCTAGACTAGTCAAATTCATAGAGGTAGAACACAGAATGGTGGTGGCCAGGGGCTTCGGAGAGGGAGCATGAGGAATTACTGTTTAAGGGGCACAGAGTTCTAGTTTTGCAAGATGAAAGGAGTCCTAGAGATGAATGATGGTGATGGCTGAACAACAGTAGGAATGCTCTTAATACCAATATACTTAAAAACGATAGATAGTAAATTTTACGTTATGTGTATCTTACCACAATAAAAAAGTAAAATTAAATTGAAAAAAAGGTATTGTCTGAGAGTTTTCAAGAATAATGAAAGACACAAATCATCAAATTCAGAAAGCCTAAAGAATTCAAGGCAGGATAAATAAATAGATACAGCATGAGCCAGGTGTGGTGACTCACGCCTGTAATCCCAGCACTTTGGGAGGCTGAGGCGGGTGGATCACCTGAGATCAGGAGTTTGAGATGAGCTGGCCAACATGGCGAAACCCTGTCTCTATTAAAAACACAAAAATTAGCCGGGCATGGTGGTGTGTGCCTGTAATCCCAGCTACTTGGGAGGCCGAGGTAGGAGAATCGCTTGAACATGGGAGGTGGAGGTTGCAGTGAGTTGACATAGCGCCACAGCACTCCAGACTGGGGGACAGAACAAGACTCCATCTCAGAAAAAAAAAAAAGATACAGCATGGTAAAACTGCAGAACATGCGAAGAGAAGGAAAAGATCAATACACCTATGAAGGAATGATTTAAGATTGTCACTGGACTCCTGTGGAATAGAGAGGGGGAGCAGGCAAACAGTGGATAGCATTGCCACTGTGCTGAGAGAGGACAGCTTTCATTCCAGCAAGCTAGCCAAAACATCTTTCAAGAACAAGGGCAAGGCCAGGTGCAGTGGCTCATGCCTGTAATCCTAGCACTTTGGAGGCTGAGGCAGGGGGATTACTTGAGCCCAGGAGTTGGAGACCAGCCTGGGCAACATAGTGAGACCTTTACAGAAGATAAAAAAATTAGCCAGGTGTGGTGGTGCATGCCTGTAGTCCCAGCTACACGGGAGTCTGAGGTGGAAGGACTGCTTCAGTCTGGGTGATGTAGGCTGCAGTGAGACGTGATCATGCCACTGCACTCCAGCCTGGGCAACAGAGCAAGGCCTCATCTCTAAAAAAA